TTTTTTTTTTTTTTTTTTTTTTTTTTTTTTTTTTTTTTTTTTTTTTTTTTTTTTGAGAAAGAATAATGAAACAAAAGAAGATGGCAACGAGTTTCTTCATCCTTATTACAAAAGTACACCGGCGCGTCAAGGAGTTCCTCTGCATCATATTTGAAGTATGGCCTCCTTGGGCAAGGGACAAAAAAATTCACCTTTTGAGTGCGTTCTACCCAAGTATTCTTAAGAAACTGTTTAGAAGGAACACGCCTCTATTTCCTCTATTATCAAGGAGTAAAAGAACGAGTTAAGAGTAATGAGTCATTCAAGTCCAAACGTCAATGAAGCTTGCCCCTGGATTAGAAACCCAAACATTGTCAAGAAGATGAGATAGCTCAGTCCACTTGGAAAGCTCTCTATCACTAAGCCGCCTTCTAAACCTGAAATTCCATCCATCACTTCATGGTTGTTTAACGAACTCTATAGAATAACCATCATCTAAGCTTGAGACCATATTTTCACCTATTTACAAACATTTTGGCTCCCTCAAAAAGAAATTTCCACCCTCTTCCTTATCCTCTAACTCAATTTAACTCCATTCTAACCTACTGAGAATAAAACAAAAGGCTTTAGGATTTTTTTTTTTTTTTTTTTTTAAGTGTCTAAAAAATTGAAATAATCCTACCCTCAATCTCTCAGGCTACCATACTAAAGCCATTACCACCATCAGCTTAGTATTCAAACAATTTCTCCAAGAAAAAGCAAAATATTTGGAGAAAACACATCCTCTCTCCGTCTTTCAGCCATTTGATATTACATTTTGGATCCAACGTTGGGCTCTAATGTAAGAAAGATGAAGAAACTCCGACTGGCAAAGTCCTACATTCAGTCTTCTCTATGGACAGAATAAAACTATCTATATGCCCCAGAAAAGGCACCATGCTCGTACTTCATACTGCCTTCCTTGGACTGTTGGGCCTCAAGGTAACCGATACTGATCAAATTTCATTTTAGTAACAACCCTCAATCTAATTTCTTGTGCAGAACCACTAAAATATTCCTTTTCATATCATTCAGCTTTATGCAACCTTTCACTTCCGCATATTCAGAAAGAAATTAGGACTCAGCCGACATTTTTCAGCCTCGAGTTCACACACACCACGGACATAGTAAATGCCACAACCAAAATTATCAGACACAGGCTGATCAATGATATGGTACCACCCGAGTCAATTGCATGAGTGAAATTGTAAATGATTTCATCCAAGTGCCAGTTAATAGTACAGCAGGACCTCTCACTCATGCTATTAAAGATAGCTACAATCTGTGTCATTCCCACTATTTCCCATTGCTTACAAAAACGAGTTTATGTAGCTGCTGTTAGATCCATGATGTCTTTGCAGAATGATGAAGTATCTTCCCACAAGGAATTTTAGATCTAAATCAACAAATTCTACTCAACAATTCTGGGATTAATTAAAAATAAAACCATCATATATCAATATGATGAATAAATCCGTTCAAATGCAAAACTAAGATATTTTCTTTGTAGGGAACCAGCTATAAATGGTTTATCACTAACCAAAAAAAGGTTGTCCACAAAAATGTTTATTCATTGTCAACTTGTTGTAGTTATTATGTACGTTGCACAGAAGTGACTAGTTGAGATGACAGTCCCCAATTATATCTTTATGGTTCAAATAAGATGTAGTTACTTAAATGGTTGATGAAGGGGAAAAAATGAAAACAAGAAATTAGCCGCTCCGCTATCACGCCAATTAACTACCACACTTTCTGAAGAAATCTGTTGCATTACTGGTCTAGGGCTTTTTATTGGTTAATCGTAGGAATTTTTTTTCTTAAAGGAAACAAGATTTCTCAAAATATTTCATAGATGGATAAATAGTAGTTAATTGCACCTATAAGTTAAATACGTTTTAACCATAAATACTATGCCAATTGTTTGGTACTGTGATGATGGTTGATCTAGCTACATCCTGGTTAAATTAAGTGTGAGTCTCTTTTTATTATAGTTCCCAAAAAGGAAGTTAAATTTCTTTTCAATTCTGGAAAGTGAAAATTACGATTTATAATTAACAAGCAGAACTTTATAAGAAACGCCAGACCTGAGACAGCCTTTTCAGCATCCAATTTCTCTTCAACAGTGGCTCCTCCAAATTTCTCGGCAGTTTTCTCAATAATAGCTTCTTCTTCAAACCGTTCCCGGCCCTCGAGCAAAGTACTAAGATACTTATATATATTGCTTTGAATCATAAACTTTATATTCTGGAGCTCTTCCGGAGTAAACCTGCTCCCATATAAAAATTTAGCCTGTTCCATAAAGACAGGCAGGATACCTCGAGTATTAAAATGATGCTATAAATTACAAATAAAATATACTAAGAAAGAACGGACTAAATGAGAGGACATCCAAATCATAATTTACCATGAAAGGTTGATTGGATGATTAAGCAAAACAAACAAATCATCATTATTGTTTATTACTACCAGTTTCCATAGCTTTATGTGTCTAGGGTCAGCTTATATGCCCTTCACATAAAGATCAAATCATAGTAAGCTTTTATGTCATTGAAGATGGGACAAGAAATATATAAGATCGGAATTAAACCAAATGGGAGTAATTTCGGAAACTAAATAAATGCTTGATTCAGGGCAAAAAGAAATAATGTGGCACGTGCCTGCTTAAACAAAGTGCTAGTTCCAGATCCTTCAATCCCAAACAGGAGAAGCTTATGAATTCTCCCATGCTCCAAGTACTCCGGCACAGACCTGCCGGACATGGTGGTTGGATCTTCTTTTGCCCCATGGGGATTGCCGGGAGGTACTGGAAGTGAAAATAATGAACACAGCAAGCGGGTTGATGCCTGCCTACCAATAATCATTATATAATCAGCACAATAATGTTTACTGCAATTAAAACCAAATGGCAAATGCAAGTGATAGAACCTTTCCCCATATGTTCCCCTTGATATTATTTTGGCCCTCTTCCTCATAAGATCCATCATCGTACACCCAGAAATGAGTATCTCGAGGACACTGCACATTGGCCAACTGAGAAAAAAAGACACGGTAAGAGAAAGGCACAGACATTTTTCAACAGAAAAGGCACAAAAAGAATGCCCTGACCTCCCGCGGATGCAAAGACAAACAAAATAAACAAAGAAAATGCAATATCTCTTTTACATTACCAACCTTCCCACTTATTACATGTCTCAATTCAAAATGCCATAAAAGGTGACTACTGAAATAGAAAGATTATTCCGAAACTAGTTCTGGAATGGTCCACATCTTGTCTGATGGAACATCATAAACTTCTTGGTAGACAAGGAGGACTTCGTCTATTTTCAAGCTCTTCTCACCAAATGGATATAAAAATATTTTCACAAAGACAATGCCTTATGGATAAATCTTAAAAAGACTAAATATATTCCTACATAATGTACAAATCAATCCCCACCATCTTTTACAAAGAGACCATGGAAGTATATAAAAAAGCACCAAAACCTCATCACTAACAGCATTTGCCATAGGGTGGGTAATGGAGGAAGCACATTTTTCTAGACTAACCCTTGGATTGAAACGACCATGCTAACCTTGCAGCATCCATTTTTTATAGACTCTCATGGAAAAACGGCCAGGATCAAAGAAACATGGAAAGATGTCAACAAATTCTAGGACCTAAAGGTTGGTAGGAACCTAGAAGATAACAAGGTTGGTAGGAACCTAGAAGATAACGGAGCAATAAAATAGGTCAAGGTAGAAGCAAAATCTTTAATGATGGGCATAGGAGAAAAGGTAGAAGCAATAAACCCCAATACCAGCGGAGACAATATGGAAAGGAAATCACCCTAAAAATGTGAAGTTTTTCCTATGAGAAATAGTGCATAAAGTCATTAGCACAAGTAAAAATCTACCCAAAATAAAAAAATAAAAAAAAAAAAAAAAAAAA